AAACCCAATGACTGGGTTGAAAATTTTACTAAAATTGTAATTGAAAAAATTAAGTCAACTTTGGGTTTGTCCATTTTTGACCCAATGGTTGGGGTTTTCCTATTTGGGCCAATGCTAATGCAAGCCAACATGTTTATAAAAATGTTGTAAAAATGCTGGGTTATGTTAACCTAACATTTGGTCAGGTAGGGAAAACCAACCATTGGGTTAATCTTTGAATTTAAATTTAAATAAAAATGTTCAATAAAACTAAACTTACATGTGTTCATTATTTGATCCAAGTCAGCATTTTTATAGTCTATGCACTCTAAACATGCAGGTTAGTATTAAGCTGGCAATGGGTCAGATAAGAAAATATATAGTTTTTGACCCAATGGTTGGGGTTTTCCTATTTGGGCCAATGTTAATGCAAGCCAACATTTTAAGAGGTTATAAAAATGCCGGATTGTATTAACCTAACATTGGGTCAAATATGGGAAACCCAGCTGTTGGGTCCATGCAACCCGGCATTTTAGAGCATTTTATATTCACTATAAAAATTGTGTTAATCAAACTTTGGGTCAGATATGGACAATCACAGCACTGGTGTTATTTGTTTTCTTTTTTCAATTAAATTAAATTTTCAACCCTGCTGTTGGGTTTGTCTGTATATGACCCAATTTTGGGTAAATACAACCCAGCATTTAATAAAAAATTGAAGAATTGTAGGTTGTATTAACCAAAGAGTAAAAGTAAAAAATCCCGAGTTGTATTAACCGGACTTCTGTCAGTCATAGAAAACCGAAAACCCTATGTTTGTCCATATTCGACCCAATGTTAGGTCAATACAACCCAGCATTTTAAAGCATTTAAAAATATATATATTAACTCTAAAAGTTATTGGTCGTGTTAACCAAACTTTGGGTCAAATATAGACAACCCAATTTTCAATTAAAGTAATCTGTATTTTTCCACCCAACTGTTGGGTTTTTCCATACCCAAACTTGGGTCAATACAACCCCGCATTTTATAACATTTTTTTTTTTATTTTTATTCTGGGTTGTATTAACCAAACCCAAAATGTGTTGTATTAGGCAAACTTTGGGTCAAATATTGACAATCCCATCACTGGTGATATTTATTTTTATTTAATTAATTTTTTTTAACCCAACTGTTCACTTTGTCCCTATTCGACCCAACATTGGGGTAATATAATGCAGCATTTTAGAGAGTTTTTAAGAATATATTCATTATAAAAATATGAGTTGAGTTACCCAAACTTTGGGTCAAATATGGACAATCACAACACTGGTGTTATTTATTTATTTATTTAATTTTTGTTTATTTAGCATTTTTCAACTGTTGGGTTTGTTTATATATAACCTAATGCTGGGTCAAAACAACCAAGCATTTAAGAACATTTTTTTTAAGAATTTTGGGTTGCATTAACCAAACCTCCCCAAAAATCTGGTGTATAAGGCAAAACTTGGGTCAAATATTGACAACCCCAACACTTATAATATTCAATGTTATGTTTTAAATTAAATTAAATGAAAAATTTTCCACCCAACCGCTCAGTTTGTCCATACTTGACCCAACGTTGGGTTAATACAATCCTGAATGTTTAGGATTTTAATATGTAAAGCTGAAAGTGCAAAGCATCATTCACATCCCAGTCGTGCAGAGATTATTCTCTCTCACACACACAGACACACACACACACACACACACAGACACACACACACACACACACACACACACACACACACACACACACACACACACACACACACACACACACACACACACACACACACACACACACACACACACACAGTCCTGCTGTAACTAGTTGACGAACAGTCTGTTCAGCCAAGAGTGCGGATCAATCAGCCCGTCCTAAAACCCGAAGCTACTAAAATACTGCGACGATGCGGTTTGCTGCTGAAACTCCACATTTGACCACTGCTGACTCCAGTCTGGCTCTGGTCATCTTCCAGTCCGGAGGGGATTTACTCAGTAGCCATGGTTTGGAGAGATGTCCTGGTTCCCTTTAATAGCATTAGGGGTTCAAACCGTTCGGGCTGTAATCTAGAGAGAGAAGAGACTCCAGCGCATGCCTTTGATCTCGTCGCTTTTGGCTGTTTAAAGTTGACACTTTAGCTGAATGCCATCGCCTGCTGTCGTTTGTGCTACACGGGTTTCACAGTGTTGTAAGAATTGCCCTACACCTGTTCTTAAAGAATGTACATTGACATGCTTGAGAAACGCATTGATTTTTCAGTCCTATGAAATCCAGGAACGTCTGCACCGTGAGATCTGCCTCATGAAGCTGGCATGCAGATGACAGAGATGCTCTGAAAGGAAATAAACGCTGGGGTTTTGTTTTAGAGGAATGAGAAGCAAGCATGGACAATGAAACATGCTTCTTAAACAACAGCACAGACGGAGTCACTGAAATGCGTCTGAATATAAAACAGCACAAAAACCACCATGAACACACACACACACACACACACACACACACACACACGAAACATGTCTGTCTCTTGTTTGTGTTTTGAAATGGTTTAAACAAAAAACTTCAACCTTTGAAATATGCAGGATTCACCCACTGTAATCACTGCTCTGTTAAGCAGAGGTTTGGTATTTATATGACAGAAGAGGAGCAGAAAACTGAGAGCTTGCTCAAGGGCATGTGTACTATACTTTCCATAATTTATAGATATGTGTGTATACATGCATGCCTGTCAATGCATGCACACACTCAAAATATAGATGTGTTTTCTGCCTGTTCTATAACTGCTTTTTAAAATGAGCTTGGGCAACACAATTATTAAGTTGTTTGTTCGATGTTTAATGTTCAATTTATAAATAAGAATGATAATAATAATAATAATGCGTTAAATGAATCGATTTGCGTTGGGATGGCATGAATGGAGTGTGTGTTTTGCAGTGCATGCACCTTCAAATAGTTATTAAGCTAAAATAAACGCTATTTATTTATTGCTTTAAGGAAAGCATCCTACAAGTATCCATGCGATGTAGTTCTCCTACTGTTGCAGTAGCAGGGAAAGTGATAATGAGAGTTTAACAAGCCCCATAAATCAGTTAAGTGTGAACACGCTTTATTGGCCATAGATTACACGTGCCATTGTTTGACGAGGGTCAGACTTCAACCCCTTTACAATTTATTTTCCCCACTCAGCCGAAAACGGAAATCTGATATCTCACCACCCCCCAAAATAAGAAAGAAGAAAAATGCATGCATCAATCTAATAATTATAACATGCATGGTTAAATTGCGCGCGTTTTCTTAAAGTTTCACTAAGCAATGCTTACTTTTAAATCTAAATGAAGACGAATACAAAATAAATGTGAGGTTTATATTATTGAACACCCGCTAACTTTTTCTCTCAATGTCCTTTCTTAACGTCTCTGTCTTCGTCGTTTGGAGATATTTTCAGTGCGATATCTGCATGATCTCCAGCTCTGCGCGTTTGCAGCGGGTTATCACCACTGCCATTCCTCCTTCTGTCTGATGTGTTCCTCTGATTGGCATCAGTGCCCTCAGATATTTTCAACAGATCCTCCACTCGCGGCCATCTGGGCCAGATCGCAATCGCTGGCTTCATCTGAGCCGTTAAACTATTAAATCCACTATATCCTTTCAGCGAGCACAAGTTTAGAAGCGACCCCGTGACAGAAGCAGAGTCTCGGACACACCAGGAGAAGAATATACACTCATTCGGCACGCATGCGATTTACATAATGCAACAAAGAGAAATAAAATGCATGCTTTATTTAATGTTTAACTCAGTTATTAATGCTGCATTAATAATCAAAGAGTAGCTAAAATATTACAAAGTCTGTAAAATATTGTAATAGAAAAAAAAATAAACACGTCGGGTTTTAATTATATTTCGCATGCATCACGCAAAAGCAGCTCATTATTGTAAGTGGGTGGTATTTTGCTGAAGATGTGGTGGGATTAGTGAGATTATTGTTACCACACACACACATTAAATCGCAAACTGTTAGACCACAGGCGAAGTCTTTATCTGTCATGACTATTATTAGTGGTATTAATAATTTTGGGGGGGTTGTAGTAGCTAAATGGCGCTCGTGTGCATGTTAATGAAGTGCTCACGATTATACACGACATCACCTCGTTCAGTATTTAACAATGAAACATAAATACAAAGTCCCCAACGCCCCCACCCCCGTGTGTATGCTTGTAAGTGCCTCTGGGTTAGAAGTGCGTGCGTGCGTGTGTGTGAGAGAGAGAGGGAGTATGAAGAAAAGGAGGAGAAAGTCTATTTGACACACATTTACTGCACCGATTATCAGAATAATTAATTAATCTGATTTAGCAAATAAAATAATTAATATTTTCGCATTATTATAGCCGATGTTGTGGTAATAAGTTCGTGCATTAAAACCTATTCTTGTGTCAGGGTGTTTAAAAATATAATGCATTAAAACAAAACCAATGCATGAGGTTTAGAGTATGCACATCTTTAATTATTTAAGCTCACTCCGACAAAAACAATAAAGCCAGAGCCTCATTTGAATAATTCAATTCAGAATATAATTTTTACCAAATGTGCATAATCCCGTACACCATCCTAAAAGCACCTTCAAAATAAAAGAGAATGCGGTTTGCTTTGTATCTCGCCAATACCTTATGAAGATCAGTGTCATCGCGAGTGTTGCTTTAATTCTCCCGTGTTTATAAGAATTACGAGCCATTCAAATAAGTTCCGCGTGCCTATCAGTTCATTTCCCCAGTGCTGGGCAGCTGTAAAATCGCGTAGACAGGTTGTCACACTACAGTGAATGGATTCTAATGCTAAACATTTAACATACAATCCTCCAAACAGTGCAAAAGTGGCCCTGGCCAATGCACTAACCACATGCGCCAACGAGGAGGAGCCTGGGACGCCAATCAAAGCATCAACTTCAAATTGTATCTGAGAGATCAGCCCAGGACCTAGGGGCAGAGACATCAGTTGGAGCTCAATTGTTGATCTGATCACATCCGACGGACTTGCTGCAGAAGAGAAGCTGAGATTTAAAGACGAGCGCTTTCCCGTTCGCTTTTCAGAGAGAGAGAGAAACTCTTGCACTTCTCGCTTTGGTGGGTTATTTGCTTTTTTGCCTGGTTTTGGCTTCCGACGTGGCGGAGGAGATGTCTTTCCCCCAGCTGGGCTACCCGCAGTATTTAAGTGCCTCCCAGGCGGTGTACGGAGGCGACCGACCGGGAGTTCTGACTCCGTCGTCCCGCGCAGGGAGCGCTGAGATCGGGGGTAGCGCGTCTGCGGCCGCCGCTGCGGTGTCCTCGGTGTTGGGCATGTACCCGTACGCACACAACTACAGCGCCTTTCTGCCTTACACCAGCGCCGATCTGGCTCTTTTCTCCCAAATGGTAAGTCCATTTCTAGATTAACTTGTTCTTGCATTTTTCCGCTACTTTTCATAGTTTTTTTATTCCACAATCGTATGCCCTCCATTTATTTGTGATCGTCGCAGGTCAACATAGCTTGCATGGGAAATTGGGAATTGTATTATTACGTTTATAGTACAAATTCTGAAATGGCATTACGGATTTAATGTGATAAACAAGCTAAGAAATGTGTACAGTTTTTTCCGATCGCGATTTCAGCATTGTGTGTGAAAAGTTTTATTTCGACTTGATTTTGGAGTTGGAGGATTGTTGTGCCGGGGGTGTTATAGCTAACATGATTGATGTGATTTAAAGCGTCTTTAAAATATGTTACAATTGTTATTGTTGTTTTTGTCACAGAGTGATTTACTGAAATTGTTTAAAACGAGAACTTTTCGCTTCGCAGAGGGGAATAATGTCAAGCCGAATTATGGCTCGAAACCCTCGCCAAACTGCTTGGTGACTTTTTCTAGTGTATATATGCATTTATTTTAATGTATATAAATACAAGAAATTTGAGTGATGAAATGTGGGGATTCACAACAACAGAATCTCGCTGGAATCCCCTTAAATAGAGACACAGTGAAAGATTTGTCAAAAGGAGAGCTGTGATTAATCCCCGGTGTTGTATAAATCTGTGCTTCATAGGATTTATTTTTTTATAATAATGTACACATGATTTAACTATTTTAAAATAGCGCAGAATGCTTTTCCTGTGGGTTTTCGATGTGTTGTTACATTGAGGAATATTTGGATGTTTGTTGCAGCTGTATAACACATGATTAATAATAGTAATAATGATGAGAATCATAGGCCTGTATGTCATGGGCGAGCCTTTAATGAAATTTCAACCAAATCGCACTCAAAATAATGCTATAATAATCATATTTACCGAAGATTACATATTTTCATTCTTCTTTTTTGTTATTGCCATTCTTATTAAGCTTGTGATTATATTTATAAATGTTTTGTATGCGCGCGCGCGCGTGTGTGTGTGTGTGCATGTGTGTGTTATCTCCATCTGTGGCCTAGCTTTTTTTTAAGAAGACAATGTTGGTCAAAGGTCAAAATAAACGTTAGTTTGCTTAGAAAAACAGAGGGAAAATCTTACAAGCAAACCCGAGGTTTTCAGGAGGCCAGCTGAATTAAAAAAATAGCATGAATGACAAAGATTGTGTCAAAGAAAGTTAAAGTTTGAAAGATTTGTTTTGCATTCATGTATAACATACGCACGGTTATGTATAATAAATGCACTTTATCTTATTCTGTGTTCCCCTTGTCAACCTCCCAGGGCTCTCAGTATGATCTGAAAGACAGCCCTGGAGTCCACCCTGCCAGCTTCGCTGCCCACACGAGTCCTGCCTTCTACCCCTACGGCCAGTTCCAGTACGGAGACCCCGCCAGGCCCAAAAACGCCACCCGGGAGAGCACCAGCACCCTGAAGGCCTGGCTGAACGAGCACAGGAAAAACCCCTATCCCACCAAAGGAGAGAAGATCATGCTGGCCATCATCACCAAGATGACCCTCACGCAAGTGTCCACCTGGTTCGCCAACGCTAGAAGGAGACTCAAGAAGGAGAACAAGGTGACCTGGGGCGCCAGGAGCAAGGACGACGAGAACATTTTTGGAAGCGATAACGAAGGAGACGCCGAAAAGAACGAGGACGAAGAGGAGATAGATCTGGAGAGCATAGATATCGATAAAATCGACGACAACGATGGCGATCAGAGCAACGAGGAGGACGAGGACAAGCGCGCGGAGCTGGAGAGCCTCCAGGAGAAGCGACACGCGTCCAAAGAGCCGTCGGATGGCAACAACAACACCACTAGAGTACTGTCGCCCGGTCGACAGGGCGGTTTTCAAGTTCCGGTTAGCAATAAGCCCAAAATATGGTCGTTGGCAGAAACAGCGACCAGTCCCGATAGCGCGCAGAAACCTACGTCACCTTCCGTTCCCGTCAGCCACCCGGCCTTCCTGCCCAGCCACGGACTGTACACGTGCCAGATCGGCAAGTTCCACAACTGGACGAACGGCGCGTTTCTGGGACAAAACTCTCTGCTAAATGTGCGCTCTTTCCTGGGCGTCAACCAGCACAACCACCCGGCGCAGCAGCAGCAGCAGCAGACGGGGCCCGCGTCCCTGCAGGTGCTGTCGGCCGGGAACACGGACAAGATGCCGGAGGACCTGAGTCCAAAACACATAGGTAACACACCAGGGCTTTATTATTATTGTTATTAATAGTGATAAAATTATAAATAATATAGCAACACATTAAAATGAAAATGCACGATAAATGTTGCAAACTCCACTCAATCTAATTCCAGTGTTCTCCTATTTTAAATGTCAGATCGGGAAAATGTCCTCAGAAATGAATCACCAACGCAACCTTTAAAGTCGTCGTTTCGTCCTCTTCATGACAGGTAAATGTGCATTATACTCTCAGTTTTCCCTCCTCCTTCTTCATATTTTGTTATTTTTTATTAGTAGCAGTAAGCTATCATTATACAAGATGAAGTGGCTGTTTTTAAAACTGCTTATCGGAGGAAGACTCTTGGGATAAAGCTATTTCCTCACAGACAGACAGAGAAAAATCCGCGCTTAGCGCTTATAATAAATAGTTGCGCTTTTCCTGGTGACAAAAGGCCACGAATTCCCCTCCCCGCACACTCAGCGGCTCTCAGGAGAATAACTACTTATCAAGTCACCGAGGCTGTGTGCCTTTCCTAAAGACCCCTGGGAACGGTGGAGCTCGGGGGAGCAGTCCTGCGCAAACTTTCCCCTTTTAAGTGCCTCGATTCCTGCAGGCCCGCTGCGCTGTTCTGGTGACCTGACTTGTGGCTATTATTCATTTGCTGGTGCTTAAGAGTCGCGCAAGTGGATTTAGTGCACAATCGCGAGATTATATTATTTTAAACGCCTGCATTTCAGTGCAAAACTCTTCCTGAAATGTTTTAATATTACACTCTATAAGAAATGATGCATTGTTGTTGTACAGCATTAGATTTAATATGCACGAACCCTAGCATTGCGTTTAAACGTGTCGTTTAAATTAACTAGAATAAAACCCATCGATGAAATACGAATATTTATATATTAATTTATATGTGAATAATGTAACGCACGGCGATCCAATTAAAAAATCCAGCTGAACTGTGATCACTAGCTAGAACACATATAAATGATTATTAGTGCATGCACACTAAAAATGCATGCTGTTTTAACCCAGATATGGACAAACCCAACTGTGGTGTTAAAATTTAATCGTAAAATCACCCCAACATTGGGACTGATCCCTATCAGAGTCACTTATTTAGAGTGTGTGCATGTTAAATGGAAATCCTCGTAGTTTAAAGACTCTCAGCAGATGTTTTGAGCATCTCTTTTTCTCTCCACAGTCCCAGAAACCAGCAGGAATCAACACAGAGGGTCCTCACAGCGCTGTCCTCCGCTTGATCAACACATTTGCACCCCCAAAAGGACTGATGGCACTAATAATGGACACTGAAAGCGAAATCAATTCAGCGTAGCGTTGAGTCTCTCTAAAACAACCGGCCGCTGGAGTTGTACATAATGACACCTGTGATCCCTCCCTTACCGTGGGACATTGGTAGGCGTACTTTGTCTTTATGTGTTGGTGTTTTCCTTTAAGGTGACCCACCATTTGTAAATAGCGAGTTGACGGAGTTTGTCCAGATCATATATTTTGTCTAATAAACTAAATGAAATTATAGACACATTCATTCAGAGCTCTCTTTTTGTGGTTTGGATCGTTTGTAAAGAGGAAAACTTTTTTTATTTGGTTTTTATAATTATTTTATTATTATTATTATTATTATTATTATTATTATTATTATTATTATTATTATTATTCTCAAAACAGATATGAACAAACCACGTTTGGGTTGATAAATGTCATTTAAATTCAGTATAAAA